TCAGAACCGACGTCATTATGGAAATCGCAGTCTCCAACCGGAGGCGGCATTCTTGAGTTGATTTAAATTTAGATACTTGCGAATCGAATTGATTTGCACTTTTTTCAAGGGGAGAGGGGGCATATACTTCTCTAATTGTCGATTATAATTTTCTCATTAGATCAATGAGCTACAGATAAGCAGTGTGGCAACACACTTTGAAAAAATTACGCACTTTGAAAAAAAAAATCAAAGTGCGTTAAAATTGGGACAAAATAAAAAAAAATATTTCAAAGTGCGTTAAATTTTTGACAGACTCAACGCACTTTCAAAAAAAAAATTTCGAAGTGAGTTAAGAGTGTTCATTAACATTTTTACCAAGGGGAAATTTAACGCACTTTAAAAAAAAAATGTAGAAAACAAAAATTCTAGACTAAGATTTTAGTAATTGAGAGAATTAATTTGTAATGATTATATCTTTCGGAAAACCTTTAATTTACATGTACTGATTTAACTTCATTGAGAACAAGGGGATGATGAGCAGAAGGTCTCTCAGTCCAACTCTCTTTTTACATAGCTGACGGTAGCAAATTGAACGTGGACAACTTTCAATAAATAAATGCATGCAAACTGGAAAAAATTAAGTAAAATAAAACATTTAAGAGAGAAAGAATTTTCAAAGTATGGAAAAATCAAAATCGCTCATTTTCACATCCCGAAGTGACTTTTACAACGAAAAGTTATCCAACAGGTTCAATTATTTTTCATACCTAAGATTTGCAAGAATATCGACCATACACATATTTTTCAAAGTGCGTTAAGATGTTCGATATTAACGCACTTTGAAAAGAAATTTTATTTTTTCAAAGTGTGTTGATTTGGTCCCAAATTTAACGCACTTTGCAATTTTTAGGTCACCTGAGTAAACTCAGGTGACCTATTGCTATCTGTTTTCGTCCGTCGTCGTGCGTCGTGCGTCGTCCGTTAACATTTGAACATTTTCAGCTTCTTCTCTGCAACCACTGAACCAATTTCAACCAAATTTGGCACAAAGCATCTATGGGTGAAGGGAAACAAAAATTGTGAATTTCATGGTCCCTGCCCCCCTTGGGCCTGGGGGGTGGGGCAAAAACCACTAAAATTAATGCAATCTTTAAAAATCTTCTTTACTCCTGGACATCAAGAAGTTAAACTGTTTGCATGATTGTAACCAGCATTGAGTCCTCTACCAAAATTGTGAAATTTATGGCCCCAGGGTCAGGGGTTCTAGTGCTAGGGTGGGGCTAAATAAGTATATTGTGAAAATGCATTATTCCTTTGAAAATCTTCTTCTCTGCTCCTGGGTATTAAGTAAACTAACTAAGTGCATAGTTATGATGAGCAAGAGTGCCTCTACCAAAATTTTGAATTTTATGGCCCCAGGGTCAGGGGTTCTAGTGTTAGGGTGGGGCTCTATAGATTATATAGTGAAAATTCATGAATTATTTGAAAATCTTCTTCTCTGCTCCTGAGTGTTAAATAAACTAACTAAGTGCATAGTTATGATGTGTAAGAGTGCCTCAACCAAAATTGTGAAATTTATGGCCCCAGGGTCAGGGGTTCTAGTGTTAGGGTGGGGCTCTATTGATTATATAATGGAAATACATGAATTCTTTGAAAAAATGTCTTTTCTGCTCCTAGGAATTAAATAAACTCAGTGCATAGTTATGATGAGCAAGAATATCTCTTCCAAAATTTTGATTTTATGGCCCTAGGGTCAGGGGTTCTAGTGATTGGGTGGGGCTCTATTGATTATATAGTGAAAATACATTAAATCTTTGAAAATTTTCTTCTCTGCTCTTGGGTATTAAGCAGATGAACTACCTATGTAGTTATGATGAGCAAGGACCCTAATCTTCCAGAATTGTGAATTTCAAGGCCCCAGGGTCAGGGGTACCATAGGGGGGGGGGTGTACTTATATACTGAAACTGGATGAATTGTTTGAGATCTGCTCCTTGGTATTAATCAAATATTTTTGAAAAGCAAGGGTGCCTTTTCAAAAATTGTGCAATATGTGGATCTAGGCCTAAGGGTCAGGGGTTCATGTGTGATAGGGGCATTTCTGATTATTGCTGAATATTACTGATTACTTGAAATGCATTTTTTGTTCCCCCACCCTGCCTATGGGTATCAAGTAAACAAACTAAGCAACTGGTAAGTGTATTGTTATGATGATCAAATGGTGCCTCTTTCAAAATTGTGAATGCCATAGCATCTTGCTTAAAACATGAATCAAATTAAATCGCTGGAAAGTTGTTGCATAATGCTCAGGTGACCTATAAGGCCCATGGGCCTCTTGTTTTTTCAAAGTGCGTAATTGTTCAAAGTGCGTTGTAGCAAAGCAGTTATACGAAGTTTTATGTAAATACTTGTCTCGATCTTTCTTTTTTTGCTTAACTGGTTCACTTATATTTTTTGCCTGGCTTATTGCTTGAAGAACAATTGCCGGCTTATGTCAGCCTGTTCAAGGCAGGAAGTCCACCCCATAGTCGCCAAATTAAAGTAAGGCGTAAAAATATAGTATGTACTCTGAGCCGCTTTTAGACTATAGATAAAGCAACAAAAATAAAAGGAACTTTTATCTATACAAATAAAAATCAGCCTTAATAACTGAAAACTCCAGTCCTAAGTCAAGCAACAGTGTTTATTTGCCTAAGGTTTTTGATTGTCGGTGTTATCTTTGCCTAGTTCTCTACAGAGATGAAGAAAATGTAAACCTATAGGGTTTAGCACAGACATATTGTTTGAACATTTTAAACTTAGACAATATTAATATCATAATCATTTTTAGTTATTAGTAGTGAAAGTAAAATGATATAAAGGATTATTAAATCAGAATGTATATTTTTAGTGACTCAAAATTGGTGACTTTATAATTGGAAAAAGTACTTTAATTTTGTACACTATTATTATCTTGTTAAAACAAATTGGATTTTGTTGTTGTTCCGATGCACTATAATTTTGTAAATCACTTTGTAATGAAATTGATCCGAATAGACCAATCAAGCCCATCGATAGTAAGTAATAAAATTTGAACGGAAATGCTTGGGTATCATTAAGAGTTTTGACTTAGAGCAATAAAATTGGGAACTTTGAAGTAAATAAGTAAAAGAGCTTAAGGCTAGAACTCCTGTGGTGCAGATATGGGGACTGAGCCCATAAATATTAGTAACATGTATTTAACTGCATTTGAGGGTGGTGCCATGTTGGGGTTCATAGGTTAACGGACAGACCTACGGACAAAGCGTAGGTGTTTGGTGATGGTGAATTGTATTTAATTTCTAAACAAAATGCAAACTCATTTTTTTCTTTTATTCGAAAAAGGAAACAAAATAGAATCAAAAGTAACTGTTATCAGAGAATAGTTTTAGACATCTTTTTATTACTTACTAAAAAAATACTATGTGATTTTAAACCCATAGGCATTCAAAATTAGGCAATTGCTTTCGAAAAGCAAGAATGTCGCCAGCGTGGCGCAGTGATTATAGAGCGTCTTCTCTAGAATCGCGGAGTAAGGATTGCGTCCGAATCACACTGTGGGACGTGGAGACCTGTCCTTCGGATGAGATCATATAAACCTAGGTCCCGTGTTGCAGTAGGTGTTTGCACGAAAAAGATCTCTCACTGCCCAATGGCCTTAAGTGCCAAGTGTAGGATAAAATTTGCATCTCTCCACCTGCAATTGGTTGCGTCTCCATATGAGTGAAAATTTTTAGAGAGGGACGTTAAACAATATACAAACAAAGATAAAAAAAATTGCGCTGTTATTATTTTATCATTTGTCGCCGGCATGGCGCATTAGAAAGAGCCTCTGCTCTAGCGTCGTGGAGTAAGGATTTGATTCTTTTTTCGTCGGGTTGAATCCTACCGTGGGACGTGGAGAAAGGTTCTCTGGATGAGTCCATATAAACCGAGATCCAGTGTCGCAGTAGATGCTGTCACGAAAAAGATTCTTCATTGATCAAAGGCCTTGATGAGTGCTGAGCAAAGGTCAAAATTTGCAGGTCTCCACCGGCAAATGGTAGCGTAAAATCCATATTACATAATTAGTGAAAAAGTCTCGAGAGGAACTGTATACAGCAAACAAATAGAATTCATATACATATTGTCCCCTATACTATTTTATTGTGATTATTCCCTATTTTTTGTGAAAAATTTCACTCAATTGTCCTCCATTGAGGTTTTAGAATAATTTTATAAACGCGTCCTTTCTTTTATTATGATAAGGTACATGTATACATACGTCATTCACAAATATTTTTTGTATTGTTATGATTTATACAGGAATGTCCCCTATTTAATAAAACTAAAGCAAGGAAAAATGTTTTTTTTTTTCAAAACGATGTGAGATGTGTTATTATATCCGCTAACTGCACTTGAGCAACTACGTTCTGTAGATTGAAAAAAAAATAAAATCAACTTTCGCATAGTGCACCGTCATCGTGTGGCCAGTAGGAATTTTCAGGTTTTCTTTTTTTTTTTCAATACTGTTCCTTATCTCCATATCCTTTATGTATTCGATACTTATATTCACGTTCTCTAATTTTCAATTTTTATAATTGTTTATTTCGTTTATCTTTATTGTGAATTTAGCGCCCTTCGGTATTGGTGTGCTTAATAGAGGTAGCAGCCGTTTGTGACGTTTGAACGTTAAGTAACGCAACTGAGCATTGCGTGGGGAAAAAACAAAAAAATTCATTTAATTTAACAGGGTAGTTGTTTTTTTTGTTTTTTTTAATTTTAATTGAATGGAAAAAGTATACATTTATGTGTTCCTAAATATTGAAAATGCATCGTACTGAGTGTGTAATTACCGCGCGGTGACAAGGTTTAGCATGTATTATATAGATTTGAGCGTCGTAGATTTCTAATGGATTTCATAAAGAAAATTACACTGAATGTTGATATTTAATTATAATGGGTTTATGTTGTTCTAATATGATGATAATTTTTTGTTAAATGTTTGATGTTTTTTAAACAGATGACATTACATTTCGTCGGGGAAATATCAAGATTCAAACAAATAGCCAGAATTCTTTTCGTGTGGGAGATGTTGTGGAGCTAGAGTTTAATGGTGACGTTGAAGGGATAATTAGCTTAACAGAGGTACGTCAAAATATTATGTATATAAATGTTTCTAATCTTTTGACAACATATTCAAGTAGATAATAGGAATGGCGAATATGCAATGTTTCTGGCCAAAAAATCCTGCAGTAAAAATAATTTCACATGTTTTTATTACATTACACATGTACAGTGACTCATTCCAAATTCTTAAAACAAGAAACCAATGGGCCACAACGCCAACTTTTCTTACCTCAGCAGATTTTTAAAAACATATTTCTATGTAAAACTTTGGTCTCCTTTCTTTACCCCAACCTTGGTTAATAAGAAGCTTTTATTTCTATCTGACTGAGTAGTTGTAGAGAAGATTTTTTGAAAAAAAAAATTGTTCGATTGAACTATATTCAATTAAACCCAAGGATGTGGTAGTATTTTGATAAGAAAAATGGAAATGCAAGTTTTTACATTCAATACAAACAACGTTAATTTATTCCGCTGTTTTGAAAACAACAGTAGTGACAGAAAGTGTTGATTATTTGTTTGTTTGTTTGTTTGTTTGAAGTCCCTTTGAGAAATTTTCACTCATTTTATAACCCCACGACTTGCCAATAGAGGGAGGCCAATTAATTAAGAATTGTATTCGGTACTTTCTGCCATTGAGAAGTAAAGATTCTTTTTCGTCCCAACACCTACTGTCACACGGGACACAATATCTTCGTGTCGCTGTGAGATTCGATCTCACGACTGTAAAGCAAACGTTATTCATTATAAAAGTTTAACGCTTGGTACTTTGAAACATACACTTTACACTAGAGATTTTAATGCAAGTTTTTCTTGATAATAAAACACAAAAAAATAAAAGTCTTCTTTGGAAGTACATATCGATAATTTTACAAGTTCAGAGCATACATGATACAGTAAAGGAATAGATATTGAACACCTAAAACAAAATTCTCTCAAGTAACCGTTTTTATCTTCATCATCTTTCAACCACAGTCCCACTGGGACATCATTACTTGTGTCAATATAGTTGTCAATAAAGACCTTAAATCGACCATTCTAAAAGTTCCTAAATATCAGAAATCCCAATCTTTCACTTTGTGACAGAACTTCATAGAATAAATAGGGTGAAAACCAAAAAATACTCAATTTCCAACACATAATTCTTTTTTTCTTTCCTTGACATTATTATATCAAATATAAGTCATAACTTATATTATAACCGCTCTTTTATATATATGTATATATATTTACTTTTAAAGAGTGTAAAGTGGTGCAAGAGAACAGAGGGAGAATTTCGTCCGATCAGCTTACAGGATGCACCTATGATCACTTTAGTACCTATCGGCGGAATATATTGCTCTCAAATTTCTCGAATTTTTTATCACATTGCACAAAATGACACTGACCTTGAAATCATGTGTGATTTGGATTTTTGGTTAAAAAACAAAAATAGATGCGCCGGGGGATATAATTCTCCAAAACTCATGATAAATACAAGCATTGAAGGTAAGATGAAGTCTAAATTTTATTCAAAGTATTTACTTCTGCAATAATTTAATTCTGGTTGTAACGCTGTATTTGATTGGATAAAAAATTTACTTCATATCGTATAAAATGGGTTGCCTACGTCACAATGACTTGCGTCAAAAACGTATCAATCCACCTGACGTTACATTCAAATTTTGTGCAGTTTGAAGTCATTTTGTTAGAACAATCATCTTTTGTTTCTTACATTAAATGAATGAAAATTAAATTATAAGCAATGAATTTAATAGCTACCCATTTTATACGGTATAAACTGGTTTGGAACAGTTTACGCTTTTTTATAAACCGCTTCGCGGTTTATAAAGCGTAAACTGCCCCAACCCAGTTTATACCGTATAAAATGGGTAGCTATTAAATTCATTCCTTAAATATAACTATTTTTATGATTGCGTGAATCATTTATCATATATTATTATACTTCTATTAAAATGTTTCCTATATAAAGTTCAGAGGCTAAAATAGATATTTTTTATAGTCTTAAAATTTCCATGCATAAAAAGCTATACCCCGGGGTATAGTTTTTGCTACCCAGCCCTCAGAAAATTTTCATGCAATTTTTGCCGCCAATTTTAATTTGCAGCGTTAAATCCATATAGTCTGATGATGTCATAATGACTTCAGTAGCATTTTGACGTCATCAGGATTTCAGCTTATTCTTGCAGTATTATCTAACTCCAAAGAAAACTCAAACCTTAGAAATCATAATATACATCAGTATAATAAAACACTTATCCACTGGTTGTGAGTGGGATAGCTCTTTCATCAAACCCTTGACAGGAACTATTCCCTTCGGCAAGCCCTCGGGGAATAGTTCCCTGTCGCGGGTTTGATAAAAGAGCTATCCCACTCACAACCCATGGATAATTGTATATCAAAAATAACTTGAATAGTGAAATATTTCATACAGATAATGAATGGAGAATATCACAGATTATAATATACGACAAATTTGGTGTCATCAATCCTAACAATTTCAGCATAGAGGGAACTGGTAGGACGATTCATCTACTGTGTGTGGCTTCTGCTTTATCGACTACAAAAGCGCCGGTAGTTGCTTTTTCTTAGTCTCTTATGTGTTATGATATACCAGTACTGTATGTTATTGAATTTTTTTAGGAAATGGAAATTTCATTTTTAAGATAATCCAACATACCCCAAAAATGGACACAATGAAATATACATGTGCCTTTTTTGTTGTCCAAAAAAAGATAAATGAAATTTCTTTTTTGACCGTAGAATTTCATTGCATATTTTCTGAGTTGCTGATGTTGCTTCTTTTGTATATATTCTTTATATTCTAGAAATTAAAGATTCTGGGCTCTATAGTTTTTGCCCTGCCCAACCGTACCCCTGTCTGTTTGGTTTTTGTCTGTATGTCCGCAAGAACTTTAAATTTAACCTTGATCAAAACTTTTGATGATTAAACTTAGTATAAGTATTGCACATCTTAATTTCTTTGACAATTAAGACATATCTTTTAGTACCAACATGTTTGGCCTCTTACTTTTGCATTTGGAGATTGACCTTATTTATGGGTATTGATGCTACCTAAAAGGTATTTCATACTTTACAAGAGTATTCATTGAGAAAAAAAATAAGTTTTAATATTTTTACCTTTTGACCTTTACCTTAGTGTTTGTCCGACTTTAGGAATTGCTTAGTCTTAGCCATAATTCTTCAACATTTAGCATTAGAACTTCCCGTTTTACAGGTGTATTTTACAGGACGTGACCTTCCTTTCCATACTAACAATTTTGAGTTTCACCTTGGAGTTTGATCTCTTAAAAAGAATTAACCTTGTCAATAATTTTCGCAAAGTTGGTGCTAATTCTTTACATCTGTATTTTTGTTACCTTCAGTTCTTCTGGATACCTTTAAATTTGGCTTATGTCCATCTTTAAAAAAATGGCCATAATTTTTAAACGGTTTTCGCTTCGGCTTTCATATTCATATTTATCGAGACAAGTCCTTTCTTTGGGTAACAACATTTTTAATTTCTTGACTTTGAATTCAACCACTTTTGCAACAGCTTACCAAACTTCCTTGGCCGTAGCTTTTGAATACTTGGTGCTAGGGCTTTCATGTTTCACAAGTGTATTCATAGGGACAGAACTTTCTTTTGGATACCAACAGATTTTATCTTTTGACCTAGAAAATTAAAACACTTTTGAAAAAGTTAAACCTTGGCAGTGCCTTTATGTTTCATATAGGTATTTCTTGTTTATAAGGCGCTTTTAAAAAACGTAGAAAAATAAGTTCAAAATGGTTGGTGCTAGGGCATACGTTTTCCATAGGTATATTCATTAAGTTTCTTTGAATAACAACAATTTTAATTTCGTGACCTTGACCTTGTTGTTTACTCGCTTTGAGAAACTTTGACCTTCTCTATAAGCAGCAAATCGCGGGCATCAGTGTTACACAGACACATCTTGCTATTAAAGGTGATGAACTGGTGTGTCAGAAAGAAGGACCATGTCACCTGGAGCAAAATTGTTCTTCAAGAAGAAGAAATAAAAGCTTTTGGGAATAATTCCGTGGAAGCTCTGAAATTCAGCAGGATAACTTACCATATCACACAATATGACAAAGTAGTTCAGTTCCTCTGTGAAATTTCTGCATCATCTTTGAACTCGTGTGGTTCTGGATTAAATTTGGTAAACGTTACAATTTCGAAAAACGAAGGTATGTTTTGAATGACAAGGTTTTTAAATACAATTTAAAGGTAGAACAATCAATTTCTGTAAGATTGCCTTATAAATTTGATAAATAACTGAAAAAAAATAAAATAAAATATCTTAACACTTAAATAACTTTTCTGCATGTATAATACTTTTATCTCTTCTAGACAAAATTCAAGAAAGAATAGATATTACTGAAACGCAAGAGCCTATAATCACTAGTACCACAGTATTGCCGCTGGAATCAACTGAACATCAAGGCAGAACATATATTACTGAAACGCAAGATCCTAAAATCACTAGTACCACAGTATTGCCGCTGGAATCAACTGAACATCAGGGCATCAGTACTGTGTCAGTTTTGGCTGCCTTGTCAGTACTTTTGTTTGTCCTACTTACAGTAATAGTTCTGTTAGTGATTACAGCGTGCCGAAGAGGAAAATTTACATTCCTCGGTAAACTTTCATTATTTGTTCATTGACTTTCATTAACTTGACATGTTTCGGATCATTCAAATTGGTCTCCATTTAAAAATTAACATGCTTATAATTTATGCATATTTTTCTCCTTTTTAGGTTTTATAATTAAGATTAAACGGTAGGTATTTTCAAATAAAATTAGAGACTTGAGAAAGAAATAAAGCTCATTATTCCCTGAAACTTCAAGAGGTTGGATCAGGTGCAGAGGAGGAGTAAGCACCGCCTGTTTACTGCTCTCATCCGCCGTGGGCCCTATGTTTTGATCGGGTTGACGGAACATTCCGTAGTCAAATTCAATGTATACAAACAAAGGCCTAGGGATTGGTATGAACAGGTCAGCCAAAACACGACACAATGATTATTCTTATTGGCTAAGAAAATCATAATACTGACCTTAGAGTTTACTTAATGTCGAATTTGAACGAGGTTATTGAATTCCTGTAAAATCAATTTATTTGTCAGAAGTAAAATGTTAGGATATCTTTTAAACATTGGATTATCAATGGGTTTTTTTTCATTTTACCTGATAATGAACACACGGCGAGTGTGATCGGTTGACGATGGATAATTAGTGACATATATATGGCATGTGATTCAGGTCCGTGCATACTTGCTCCCAATCTGTATTTATAAATTGACTCTTGATTTTGATAACTGTTTGTTTTCTCGAAATTTTATCTCATTCAGTGTGGATATTTGTCCTTGCCTTTTAGTCCCCATTCTTCATTTTTTCATTAGAGGAAAATTCATAAATTCGTAGGGATAAGATTTCTAGGAAAAAAGTTTAAAAAAATATTTTTTTACACTGCTTTTTATCCATTGTCTGCATTCCATGAAAATTAAGAAAACTACAACTTCTCTTGAAACTTTTAACTCAAAGTTATTTTAAGGTTATAGAGGGATTTGGATTGAAAAGCTTTTACTCAAAGTATTACAATTTTAAACTCGGCATTGAGATATATCGACGACGAATTGTCAATTAACAACGGTACTTTCCATTCTTATGTCGATACTATATATGATGGTGAGCTTGAGACAAATGATACCACAGAGTTTGACCCAACTGTTTCATATCTGGATATCTAACTTGCAAAAGACATTAATGGTAATCTAACAGCCGAGCTCTAAGATAAACGTGATGACTTTAACTTTCAATTGTCAACTTCCCTTGCTTATTCAGGATTATATCTTTATCACCTGTATACAGAGTTTATATATCTCAGTTGATTCGATACGCATTAACATGCTTTAAGTATGAAAAATTTCTAAAATGAGATAAATTATTAACAAACAAGTTGATGAAACAAGAATATCAGCATTATCGTAAAGCCAAAATTTCATAAGTTCTATGTCAATACAATGACCTTGTCAGCATATAAAATTTATAATTAATTCAAATGCTGACTAGCGTTATTCAAACTAATTGTTAGTCCATTATTTATACACTGAATTGAAAACATATTTTTCCGTTATTTCTCGATCATGACAAGGAGTGTGTGACATGGCGGGTGTGACCGGTCGGCAGGGGATGCTCACTCCTCCATAGCACCTGATCCCACTTCTAATGTTTTGGAGGTCTGTGTTTGCTCTGGTGCTATTTTGAATTGTTTTTTTTTCTGGATTTTTGATCTAGAATACTGTTGGTTATCCCCATGTTTCATTTAAATACATAACTGTTTTATTGAATTGATTAAGGGGACTGAAGAAGTTTTAAACATAATCTTATATATTTTTCAGAGAAAAAAAGGACACCGGAGATGAAAAGGGGAATGAAAATAAAACAGATATTTGTAAGTAAATTGAAGCCTTCATTGAAAATGCAGGATTACATGTTTTTAATCAATGTCAGAATTAGGTAAATTTAAATGTATATTTTTTGACATCTTTGTTTATTGGGGAGTGTCCAAAGAGCGATAGACAATTGCATTACAATGCAATCAATCAAATGTCTCTAAAATAGTGAATTATTAAATCCTCTAAAGGAACATTGCTCGTAAAAGGAACATTAAAAAAATGTCGATATGACCTGTCCGTACGTATTCAAAATCCGGGATAATTTACGTATATAACTCTTGTAATTTATTTCTATAATAACATAATTTAGTCAATATCATATTCAAACATATCAATCAATTAAGACACAATACCTTAAAAAAATCAATTTTTAACGTTTATGATACCGGAGATAGAGGAGTGCTGACACAATTTTCAAAGGTACATCAATAGATTTTGCTGCAAAAATTGATATGATTATGGATTATCCTAGTAAGAGACAAAACAAATTCAAAAGTTAAAAAAAAAACCTATAACATTAGGATAGACATTGTTTGTATATGGCATAATAAATTCAGGACAGTTTCACTTCAGCTGCCAAAATAAGACGTCCCGAGTCACAATCATTTAATTCAGATTTAGGAACGTTAGGGATTATGGACAATGTAATGTTCTCTGTAAGAAACTAAATTTGAATGGAATTACAGAAAAGACCAAATTTATTGTTATTGCTTTCCTGACACAAATGTGGTTTTCCAAAGTATTGTAAATCATCTATGAGACGCCCAAAGCTTTATTGAAACACCCTCTTAGATATTGTGTAATAATATTCTTTGCTTTTACATATGTCTATACGGTAAAGTGGCTATCAATAAATTATTTTCATATTTATTCCAGCACTTCAAAAAGAAAGGAGGTTCGTATTTAATGCACAATTAATTGCTGATTTAATCCTTGTAATGTTCCATTTTTTATTTATTTTACTGTACTTGCATTCGCCCTATCCAGAGTATCTCTTGCAACAAATCAGTAACATTTGAATATAAATGAAATATTGATAAAAATTGCAATATTACTCTAGTTGAGATATGAAGTATTGAATAACCTTTTTATTACTGACAAGAACTTGATAATTAGTAAGGTATCTGTTGTCCTACTGTCTGATAGTCTCAAAAATAAATTACATGTTTCTTCATATTTTTTGGTCCAATTTCCCTAAAAGTTGATTCGCAAGTAAAAGCTTAATATTGCTTTACCTAGAAAAAGGTCAGTTTTATGTATGATTACATAATAAAAAAGAAATAGAGCATATCTCGTAAAATTTCACTTTTCTTGTAAGTTTGTAAGTTTCAACTCAACCAATGCCGTGGCTTTAATAAACCGAAAAAACCAAAACTAAAGACGTAGAAAACTTTTCTCTTCCACTACTGTAGGAACAATCCAGTAGATAATGTCAACAGTTTTCTAATTGTTTTATTTATTTTCAACTGAAGGGCCATGCTATTTTTCAAGAGGGGGTAATTCAAAAAAGTCAAAAGTAGGTGTCTTCTTCTCAAGAACCTTTTGTCCAACGGTTGAAACCAAGAAAAACCTTCCATAAGTAGTGTAAGTTCAGGTTTGTTCAAATAATGAATCCCCGGGGGGAATGGTGGGAGTGGGTGGGGTCACAAGGGGAGATCAGAGTTTTACATAGGAATGCATAGGAAACAATCATAAAAAAAATCAATTGGTCAAGAAATTAAAGCCATTATTATTGCAGCCCGGAGGACCGGGCTGCTCTATAGATACATATAAGTTTAAGTGTTGGTGTATGGTGACTGGGGTGGGAGAAGTTATTCAGAATTAAAGGTTTTCTAAACATTGAAAATATTGTTAATCAGAATGTTCTTTCCCTTTCTAAATTACGAGATACACAATATATTTACTTATATAAAATGTATATGTAAAAATAAATATGTTTTACATGTTTAATATATAAAGTTGCTTATCATATACTATCGAAAAAAAACGACAGATCCCTTTTTTTAGAATATCGAATTTTACTTCTCGCATAAAAACGCACTCTGCATAGTTCCTATTTTATATTCTAAAATTGAAAATTAATACATTTTTGAATATAGGTGATACATGTGTCTAACTTCAATTTATATTTTATACAGCCAACATTTACATGAGGAATTGATCAAGTTTAAAATGGTATCGTTTTTGTTTGATTTTTATCCGACTGTAAGTTTTCAAAATACTCGCGACTATCGTCGCCATCAATTAGACGCATGCCGTTTCACACATACCAAAGCGGTTTGATGATCAAGACTCATTTCCATTGCTTACTTTATATATTTCCCGGGCGACAATTGATGGTTACATCAATGTTTACTTGTACATACTGATATGAATGCATACTCAGGTAGTGTAGATTCAAATTTGTTCAAATCATGACCCCTCGGGAATGGATAGGGCCAAAAATGGAGATCAATGTTTTACATAAGAATATATAGGAAAAAATATTTCTTAAGACCAACAAAGCCATGATTACTCATAATAATATGGAAGTATCCTCATGTAGTGTGAATTCATGTGAGCAATGAGGCCCATAGGCTTCTTCTATCTACTCTTCTTCTTCTGCAGCTATTTAAATACTTATTTTTCAAGCCATGTTCAAATTTATGTCATATCTTTACATTTCAAATGAGAGGGGGTTAGAATTATTACCTTTGTCAATTGATGCATTTTGGGACCATGGCCCATGTTAACAAAAAACTCGCAATTTTACATAATATCTCAATATTTCTGATGATGAAAATTAAATTCTTGTCTGCTCTGGCATTTTGGGTCTTTGGTGGTATTTCATCCAAATAGTAAGTCACGTTGACATACTTTTAGAATTCCATAGCTAAATCTAAATAATAACTAGTGATTCAGATTGGAATTGGTCAGTTGATGCAAATTGGGTCTTTAGAATTTTTCAATTAAAAGATCACCTTGACCTTCCTTTGAATCTTAAGGCAATAACTGTTTATTTCAAAAATTGGAGGCTTCGAGTCATATGCCTCTGTCAGTTGAAGCATCTTTTAGTCTTTGGTTGGTGCCAGCCAAAATGTGAGTCATCCAGAACTGCATTTGGAGTCTTGGGAGTATAATTTGATATTACATTTACATCGACTAAAGACCATCATCCTTTTTAAATAGAAGCATCCGGGGCCCTCAAAATGTATCCAAAAAAAAGTACGTCTGAAATTTCAAGGCAAAATTTATATGGTTTTAAAAGTTAACAAACGAGCTATTCTTTACCTTTGACACCCTTTTATAGATTGTCCTGATATAAATAAAATAATATAATTTTTTTTTAAATTCCTCACTAATTATATGGACGGTGCATTCATTCTCATGATTTTTTTCTTTTTTTTAAATTAAAATTACAATAGGTCAATAACATAACATTTTACATGTATAAATATTAACAACATATCAGATATTAGTATCAGACAAAAAAAAATCAGATAATTCATGATATAGATTACTTCTGATCTAACCTTTCTTCCTAAGAACATCATTATGAAATAATGCATATATTTCAGTCTGTGTAGGGAATTTTTCACAGAAAATTTCTCACTCTGAAATCTACATTTCATTTACATTTATGCGTAGAAAAAAAACTAATAAATGCTATTAAATTATTTGAAAAAAAAAAAAATTTCATGCTTGAGTTTAAATTATTAAAGTGATCATATATTTTTGTACAATTGAAAAATATTCTTTCCAGGAAAAACAAAGACAGTTCAAAAATTAATATTGGTTTTGAAAGACAAAGTATTTACGAAAATGAGGATTTGAAGAATGAAAATGATGCTTCGACTGTAAAAACAGATAACGAATCGTGAGTTACACTTCTCATAAAAAAAATTAAAATATTGTATTTTGAATAAATCTTAAAATATAACATGTGTATGTGCAAGCAGGGTAGGGTGATACTATAGAATAAGATATTACATTTGAAAATACCCTGTTTAAGGATTGCCCACTTTAAGCCATAGATACTTTTTCCAGGTCTAAATATGAAGAGCTGAAAATAAGAGATAATCAACAGGAGTATGAGGAACTGAATTTATAGTAAAAAAAATTGCATCAATTGCAAGATGATTCATTGATTGATTGTTTGTTGTCAAACAAGATGAAGGACATTGACAAATACGGTTATGATAATAAGATATGTAATTTTGACTTATTTATCTTGAATGGTTGCCATTGATTATATGTATATATATGCATATTTCAGCAATTAACAAAAAAGTGTCTTGAAAAAGTGGTTTATTAATTTTTGTTCACGGCTTTTGCGGATTAAGTGTAGTAAAATAGTCGTTTGAAGTATTTGTTATGTATATGTTTAATTAAAGACTACGTTTTGATTTAAACAACGGTCGTAATTTCTTATGGATTTACAATAATGTAGGTTTATAGTATGGCAAGACATTTGTTACATTTATATATTTTGTTTGAGTTGCATTGAGTTGTTTGTATCATTAGATTACATTATAATAAATTCTACAAATTTTTGCAGATATATATCTTGCTTACTTTATAATATGTACATTTCTATACATTTTATTAAATATTTTACTTGATTTTTTTTTTTTTTGCTAATTAAAATTGATATATCGGCAGCTGTCAAACATTCTGTTCAAAAGAAATCTTTTTTATCGTTTGCATTCTTTCATAATTAAAAATAATTTTAAACTTAAAAATGAAAGATAATTTAACCCACAGGATAAGCGTATTATGATTTATGTGAGCATCGCAATCGTTTAAAATGAACAAGCCATATGAGTTTTTGTTTTGAACATATTTTATTGTATAAACAAAAGGATTGGAAACAAGTTCTTTCAACTTACGAGTTCCTCTCCTTAATTATAACTATATGTCATGCAATTGAAATACATGTAGTACATTGAGATATAAATACAAAAGAGATACAAGTGAAATATTTGTTCAGAAATATAACAATTTAAAATCTACAAGATTCGTCAATAAATTTATGCACAGCAGCAAAAATATATGTGTTCCTAGCGTTTGGATAATTTCTGCAGGCAAAAAAGAAATGATAAACATCTTCATACTTTCCACATGAACATAAAGGGCTATTAATAATATTTCTTTTGTGTAAATCATAATTAAGTATACAGTTGTGTCTAAGTTTAGTATGGATTATATTTGTATAACGTTTGCCAAATGAAAAATAGATTGGGGGATTTTTTACTTCTGTAGTTAAGTTTTTTCGAAACGCATTGAGTGAGATAGCTTCCCTTGTTTCTGTCTTTAATAAATTCCAATGTTTCACAGCGTCAGGAATAAAAGATCTTTTATATAATTCTAATCTGCATCTTGGGGCAACGTATTGTTCCTTATTACGGGTATTATATTTTGAAATGTTTTCGCGCTTGCTTGGAACAATGTCATTCAAATATTCAGGTACACTACCATTATGAATTTTGTACATCGTGGTCATTTTTGCATTATAGCGCCTAACTTTCAATGTTTCCCAGCCAGTTTCAGAGTAAAGTATTTCTCTTGACACAAAAATTGGAAGTCCGGTAACAATTCTAGCTGCAGATAATTGAACTCTTTCAAGCTTTTCGGCATCATTATTAGAGCAGCCATCCCAAACAATTGAAGCGTATTCGAGCGAGGGTCTGATAAATGTGACATACAATTTTGAAAGATGTGTCCTGCCGATCTTAAATTTAAGTTTTTTCAAAAGCCCAAGTTTCTTATAAGCATTGTTTACAATGCTATCTATGTATTCTGTCCAGCTAAGGTTTTGTGATAACAATAAACCTAAATGACGATGAACAGGGACACACTCCAATCTGTCACCTTTAAAAAATAATTTAGGCATAACAGAAATATTTTTCTTATTGAAAAAAATAACTTTCGTTTTGGAAGGGTTGAATTTTAGAAGCCACTGATTTGACCAAAGTTCCAGTATATGTAAATCATGATTTAAATTATATTCAATATCAAGTATGTTGTATGAAGAATGTTGAAGCGAATTGTCATCAGCAAAAAGTCTACACAATGTTAACATATTTACAGCAACATCATTTACGTATATCAGAAATAAAAGGGGTCCTAAAACAGAACCTTGGGGTACACCTGCAAAAATATCTAGTTTTGATGATAACAGATCTTTATACATAACTTTTTGTGACCTATTACACAAATAACTAGAAAACCACTGCATAAGATCGCCTGATATACCGTAAGTTTATAATTTAAAAAGAAGTCCTTTATGCCAAACTCTGTCAAAAGCTTTTGAAAGATCGCAGAAGACCATACAACATGATTTACCTTCATCAATACTTTGAACAATACTATGATAGGTTTCTAGTAACTGGTAAACAGTTGAATGACCTGGTAAAAAACCCGCCTGATATCGGTAAAACAAATTGTTATAATGGAAATAATTGTACATATGTTTGAAAATAATTCTCTCCATAATTTTACTAATACAAGATAGTAACGACACAGGTCTATAATTAGAAACTAAGGAGGGGTCATCGTTTTTAAACAAAGGAATAACATGAGCAGTTTTCCAAAAAACCGGAAACTTTTTTTCTGATAGGGACCTATTAAACAGCAGTGTAAGTGGTTTAGCAACAGTATAAATAGTGGATTTTAACATTTTGTGACTAATACAGTCAGGACCTATGGCTTTGTTCACATTAAGAATTGATATAATATCAATTACTTCTTTTTCCTCAATTACAATATTACTGAATGTGTCGCTACACAAACTGTACATGTTTGGTAATGTTTCATTTGAATCGTCAATTGTCGAAATGGAAGAAAAATATGAATTTATTGCTTCAATCTTATCGATATCAGAATAAGCAAAGTATTTTTCGCCGTTATCATTATGTATTTGGACTGGTGGGATTTCGTTGGACATTTTCATGTTGAATGTGTCTTTCATTAACTTCCAATAAAGTTTGTTGTTATTTTTGCTTGAATCCTCTAAAGATGTATCAATATTGTCGTAATAATTTGTTATTGTATATTTTTTCATATTGTTTACTGAATTTCGGACCTCTATGTATGCGGCAAAATCGGAATCTTTTTTAGTTTTGTGTGCTTTCTTATGAAGTCGATTTCTAGTTCTCATTGTTTTCCTTAGAAGTGAATCAAACCATGGTTTGTCGCGGGGACGTATGGTTACCGTTTGTTCAGGAACACATTCGCGAACACACGCAAGATATTCAGATGTAAAATTTTCCGTTGCTATATCTACTGACTGAGCCTCGTTTATATTTTTATTCCAATCACAATTTTCAATTAAAGAATTTAGTTTAACAAAGTCAGCTCTTTTATAAGCCCAAATTTTTCTTTTGTAAGATCGATTGTAATTTATGTTAGAAGAAAGCGTTAAATAGGTAGCTCTGTGGTCACTTATGGAAGAGTCCATTACTAATGTACCCGATTCACGAACTTGGATATCAACTGAAGTGAAAATTGGGTCAAGGAGCGTTGTGGCAACGCACTTTGAAAAATTACGCACTTTGAAAAAATTTTTCAAAGTGCGTTAAATTTTGGGACCAAGTTAACGCACTTTGAAAAAATATTTTTTTTTTCAAAGTGCGTTAATATCGACCATATTAACGCACTTTGAAAAAAAAAAAATTCTGCATGGCTTAGTCAATATTGAATGAATATTCCTACAAATCTTAGGTATGATAAATTATCATTTGAACCTGATTTGATACTATTTGTCCCCAGCTTGAAAAGTGGGAGATATTAATTTTGGTCTATCTGTCAGTCCGTCCGTCTAGCTGTCCGTCCATCCGTCTTTCTGTAACGCTTTCGTTTCCACACGATATCTCGCCAACCCTTTGAACATTTGCAATGAAATTTAACATAACAGAATCCCTGTGGTCTTAGGAAGACCCCTTTTGAATTTGGGGTCAAAAGGTCAACATTCAATGTCGTAAAGAACTACGAACGATAGTATTGTTCTTCCACCTATCTCTTAGTCAATTCTCAAATGTTAACATATTGGAATGATTCTAAAAAAAATTATAGATATTTATATGAATTTTCATAAAACCTTACTTATTTGGGATACCAAAGAGAAATAACTCTATAATTTTGGCAAAACTTGTGTTTTTAAACACCTGGAGTTCAACAGAGAGATTATCAGATATGGTATCAAATTAACATCGGAAAGCAGACAGGTACTGTAGATTCCTTAATATAAGCGAGGAATTAATTTCTGCGTAATTTCGCGAGAAGTATCACTCGCGAAAAAAATATTTCTCGCTTTTATTTTTCTGGTGCTTAAATCTATGTAAAATCTGTTAATAAACCGTTCATTCGCGAATTATAGTTCTAGCAATTTGACGTTTGAGAGCCAGTTCGCGATAAAAAACACTCGCAAAAAATAAGGAATTTACAGCTAGTTATTAATATTTTGATTTTCCTGAAAATGAATATAAATATACTTTGAGATTTAAAAGAACAAAATTTCGATTTACTGCAGACTTCCTTGTACAGTTCTTATACTGTATTTAGAATGCTCTTTTTTCAAATATCATTGACACTTAAGGTTACGAGTTATAGAAATAGATATATCGGGGTGGGAATGATAAAGAGTTGAGCTGATAGACCTTAATTCAGCCAGTCTTTTCTTCGTTTTCCGTTTCTTGGTTTTCTTCAATCCATCAGTTGAGAAAAAAAAACATCAAAGTAAGGGCATCGCAAAGCGGAGCATTCCTTCCCAAAAAAGATTACGTCAATTCCACACAGAAAAAACTAACATACACATAAAGTAATAACACACATAATCGCATCACTATATCCCATCATACGTTGCAAGGGGATAATACTGTTGTCTATTTCTAAAATATAAGTCTAATTCCTTTTGTTTCATGAAAAATTTTTCAAAGTGCGTTAAATGTTTACATGGTGTAAAATTATGATGTACAGTTTTAACGCACTTTGAAAAAAATTTTCAAAGTGCGTTGATTTGGTCCCAAATTCAACGCACTTTGAAAATTTTTTTCAAAGTGCGTTAACCTGGTCCCAAAATTAACGCACTTTGAAAAAAATTTTCAAAGTGCGTAATTTTTCAAAGTGCGTTGTAACACTTGCTCGACGTGTTTGTAATTCTTGTAGGTTCGTGGATATTATTAACAAGGTTATGTGTTGAGATA